CCGTCCTCTCCAAGGTCCAGGCTCTGTTTGCACCAAGACACCTCACTGTAGAGAGGATCTGCAAGGGAGGGAGGTCGGTGGCGAGGGCTCAGGACCACGGGCAAACTAGAGACCAACAGACACAGATTCAGCAGGGCAATGGGGCTGCTCCCAGGGGAGAATGCCAGGGCAGCAGCAGGGCAGGACGGTGTGGCAGCAGAGCAGGATGGTGTGGCAGCAGGGCAGGACGGTGTGGTGGTGCCAGAGAGCTCTGAGCAGGTGCAGGAGACCTTATCCCTGTGTCACGGGGCAGTGGCCACAGGCAGCTCACAGAGGAGGAAGAGTGCGTGTGGCTCATGTTGCAGGGGGTGTAGTCCGTGAGCCGTTGGCCTGCTGATTGGGCCTGTGGGGAGGCAGGAAAACCATTCAGGGGAACAAGCTTCACCCCTCGTGACTGAGAGAGAGAGAGAGAAAGAGAGAGGGAGAGAGGTGGACCCGAGCCCCACAGCCCTCCAAGTGGGATCATGAGCCTCAGCTCCCATGGGTTCTACTGTCTCCCAGTGCCCCCACTCTGGGTACCACTCCTTTAACCTGTGGGCCTCTGGGGGCCCTGCAGACCCAGGCCATGGCTGGAGACCTGCCTCGATGGAAACCCTCTGTTGCTTCAGCCTGGACTCCACCATCCTTTCCACACCAGGAGGGTGGACTCAGAACTGATTCTCACTAGTGCTGAGCAAACCCTGGGGTGAGCGGGAGTGTTCTTTAGTGATCCTTGGGTTTGCCATAGTTCGCTTCACAAGTATATCTGACGTCCTGGCAAGTGAACCCAGCTTTTGCCCTCCTGTGAAATACAGAAGGATGGTGTCTTCCCAGCGGGCTTCTCTCTCCTCCCTCGTGTGGAGAGGTGGTGGAGCCATGGCTTTTGATTCTGAATACTGCACACCAATTTATCCCATGGTGCTCTAATCTTGCCAATCTGTTGGTGATCAACAGAAAGATTAGAGTTTTTCTTTCATTATGTTGATTTATTTGACTTGCTTTTATTATTTCTCTTGGCAGCAAAAAACAACTTTTCATGTGTGTGTGTGTATGGAAATTGAACTGAAAAGCAAAATAAACAAAAACCAAATGGACTTAATCAATATATCAGGTATACATTCTTAGACTTGAATAGTATCTTGTAAATGGGAAATTTAACCAAATAAAATGTTTCTTAGAAATACAGTAGACTAGGAATACCCATTTTATACCTCCTCTACTATGTCTTTTAGCCTGGGATTGAACTCACAATGTATGCATCCCAGGCTGGCTTCAAACTCATGGCGATCCTCCTGCCTCAGCCTCCTGAGCATTGTGATTATAGGTGGCATCACCACACCCAGCATTCTGAAGCACAGGGAGAGATCGGTGCATGCCGAGCAGGTTGGTGCCATCTGGAGTGGGCGTTTGTCTTCTGGTGGGGTAGACAGAGGCTGGGGAGGGAGACCCAGGTAAAGCACGAGCTCCTGAGTGAGGACAGAGCGAGTGGAAATCCCAGGGTAATTGGTGAGCTGCATGACTTGAAAATTCTTACCTGAAGAAGCCACATAAAATAAGTGACGTCAGATGGCTTTTTCCGCTTGGCCCTGAGCCTTGCTGTGAGCTGCATCACAGCTGGCAGGGCGCAGTCTTGCTGAGTTGTTCAGAGTGACACAGTCTCTCGAGCCTCCTGCTCAGCCACCCTTTGCGACCTGTCTGACTACTGTGACATCTCTTCGGTGGCTTATCCAGCAGCAGAATTCATCCTACCTTTGCTGAGTCTTCCGTTATGATTTCCTAAAGTGGTAAATCAAGTTTTGATAAGTAATTTACACCTCTCTGACCGAGCAGGACTTCTCTTCATGCGTTTATTGGCTGCTGGCTTACTATGTTTTGTGATGCCCTCTCATCTTTTTCTTGACCTACTAGTTTTAGCCAGTAGTTTAGGCTGCTTTTCATCAAAATGAAAAATTTCAGCACCTTTGTGATATCTCTTGTGTCTTGTCTTTTGTCCTCTGTTTTTATTATTTACATATTTTAGCTGTTCGATCAATTGATTTTATGTTGGAAAATAATCTAATTACATCTTTCTCCATTTCTCAGCTTCGGGCTGCAAGCACTGACTCTTTACTAGAAGAGAGAAATAAATCAAGATTTTAAATGATTTCATTATTATTTTCTTTCTAAGCCTGAGATTTTATGATTTATTTGCATTCTGTAAACTCTTCTATTCTCCAAATTCAGTGAAGCCTTTACAACTTTGCTAGAGTCGATCTCAAAATTAAGAGCCAGTAAGGAGGTTGGGTAACAGGTCCTGAAACACAGACAGGGTTGAGTTCTAGGGTCCCCCACACACCGGGATGACCGTGGTTTACCATGACCGCTTTGCATATATTATGAAAATCTAGAGGAAAGAAGGTCAAAGATTCTAGACAGAAAGAAACTGTAAGGAGACAGAAGTGGTAACTGCTGTGATTTTATTAGTGCAGGCTTACACATGGGTTGAAATATCTCACTGTACCCCATTAATACCACTAATACACATTAACACCTAAAAATACAGCACCTGATAAACACCAAGGAGCATTTATGTAGCGCTCTGTGTCTGTTACTTGGCCCCTGGCCCCCCTCACAGAAACCCAGCAAGACAGCAGAAGGCCGATGGGTCTGAAGCCAGGGTGCCCTGGGGACCGGTGCTGGCAGCCCCGCGCACCGCCTTGCTGTCTGTCATGAGAATATGCGCCTGCTGTGTGATTCCAGGAGTCTGCGGTCACTTGTTTCAGAGCAGGCGTGTGCTACACTCCCGGCACTCCTCATACCTTTCCTTCTTTGGTTCTCCCGTCTTTGGTTTGCATCTGGGAAGAACGTCTGCACTAACCCCGGGATCTCCTGCCTCTCCCAGGCTGCCTGTCCTCTGGAGCCTTCTTAGCAAGGTGGCAGCCTTCCCTGGCGAGGGCAAGTTTTGGACTGTGACCTGGGTGCCCTTTGCTTCTTTATTCCGGGGTGTGATGAGGAGTGTCTTAGCCACTTTGTGAGCAAGGAGACCATCTCCGACATCCATGACTTGAGGGAAGAGAGGTGTATTGTGACTCACCTTTCAGTCCCTGGCTGGCTGGCTTCAGAGCAGGGTGGCCTGGCCAAGGAGCCTTGAGGGAAGGGAGGAGCTGGGAGGGAGATGCGCCCTGCTGGGCCACGCCCCTCAGACCGCCCCTTCCAAACTGGCCCCACCTGCTCACAGCTGGGAGTCCCAGGATTCATCCATCCATTCTGAAGGTGCCACCCATGACACACGTGGCTTTAGGGGGTGTCTGGATGTGGAGTAACCAGGAGGAAGCAGGCTTCCAGCTGTCCTGCGGGTGGTGGCTGCCACCCACGTGGACCCTGCTTTGGTTTGGTGGCTCAGAGCTGGCACTTCTTGGGGCCTGTGAGTCGGGGACAGCCCAACAAGCCCCACATCTTGGACCGCCTCTTCTCCAGTTCCCACCATGCAAGTTCTGCTTAGCTTTTCCTTCATGAAGTTTCACAGCCTGCCTGGTCTGTTGGAGGTCACGAGGGGGTCTTTAACAGAAAGTGCTTTTCCTAGCCTATGCATGGGAGCTGGGAAGGGAAGGGGCAGCGTGGGGATGTGGCCTGGGACTCTGCCCTGTGTCCTACACTGTATTGCTTTCTCCTTGTTCAACAGGAACGGGGAATTCTGTGCCCCTCCCTCGTGTAACCTGTCTGCCATATTTCTACTAAGTGGATGAGAAAGGACAGCATTTGATTGCAGTAGTTGCTTTTCTCCTGTTCTGTTGTTTCCTCCCTGTAAAATGCCTCAAGCGTCCTTCTGGGCAGGTCCTGCTCTTCTCTTCTCCTTCCTCCCTCCTCTCCTGGCTGCTCAGCCCTTCTCCCCTGCAGTGCTTCCTGCAGTGACCTGAAACCACTCCTGCCCTGGTCTTGTCCTTTTAGATGCGCCTGCCAGAAGGCAGGGCCAAGAACGTCAGAGCAGCTGGAGTAAAAGGGGGCTTTAGTGTTCGCTTCAGGCTTTGTCCATTGAAAGAGACCCTTAGCTGTTTCATAGAAGCTCGGGTTAGACAGACAGTGTGCCAGAAGGATCTTACTGGGCCCCGTCAGTATTCAGATGTCCTGTGGGACAGGAGCCGAGTATAGAAGCCTCTGGGAGCCCCGAGAGCATCCTGTTCTGTCACAGGCTCCCCACGAGTCTCAGGTCCCCTATTCCTTTCTTCCCCATACGGTGTGCTTTGACGGCTCTGGCAGGGATGTGGCCAGGCAGCCTGACAGCAGCCATGCCTGGGTCCTGGGTTCACATCTTCCTTGAGCCCCAGAACTGGAGGAGGAAGGGCCTGGGCCTAGTGTAGGCCAACTGTCTCCTCGAGCTATGCTGAGGGTCAGCAGTGGTGAACCTGCGGCTCAGGTGCTGACTAGGGCCGTTTGTGTCCCTGAGAGCTCTGTGCTTCACATTGCTGGTATGGCTTGAGGCTGAGGATGCGAGCTTTGGGCCAGACGTAGGCCTAGCTCTGCTGACCAGCTGCAGTGCGCCCTGAGTCCAGTAAAGAATCTATGAGGACCAGTTGTCCAGTTTCCTGGGCTGCTGGAGGGTGGGGCCAGGTCACCCTCTGTGCACTCAGTGTGTCACAACTGTTACTCATTATCACCCTCACCACACCGTTTGGGAAGGGTTATGGGGACAGAGGCGCATGCATTTTATCACTGCAGGAAGTACAGGAAGCCCTGGGAGCCGTGTTTCAGCTCCCCAGCATCGCACCATCCATAAAAACCCAGGAGCAGGCTTGGCTTCTCCACACTCAGCCTCCTGGCATCAGGCGCCTGTCAGCTTCGGACAGAGTTAGGGTCCCAGCAGTTCCTCTCAGCAGGTCCAGTTCTGCAGCATGGTGACTTGGTGGACGGGGGAGTTGGCCGGTGACGAGACTGCAGCGTGTGTCCCTCTGGCTGGGACTGCGCTATGTGAGGCCACAGGCCTAACCATGTCGCTCCCTCTCCAGCTACGCCGACATCCTGATAGAGAGGGAGGTGCTGATGCAGAAGTACATCCACCTGGTTCAGATTGTGGAGACGGAGAAGATCGCAGCGAACCAGCTCCGACACCAGCTGGAAGACCAGGACACGGAGATCGAGAGGCTCAAGTCAGAGGTAGCTGCAGGTGGAAGAGCTCTTCCCCTCATTTCCAGTCTTCTGTCTTCTCCCCTCAATTATCTGTGTCATGTTCAAGGCCAAACCTCCAACTCCAGGCTCAGTTCCTGGGCCATCCACACACGTGGCCAGGCTTCCGACCTTCACCGGGACCTGTGGTCTGCATCAGGCGAAGGCGCAGGTGCTCTGGGAACGCAGCATCATGAGAAGCTCACTTTCCCTTGTGTGCTCTTACTGTCCTTCCTTTGAGCAGAAGTCAGGTACTGGCTGGAAAACCGTCTTTTGGCGATTTAGTATTAACGATCGTGACTCTGTCATGGAGTTCAGGTGCAGAAAGGACAGGAAGTGATTGCAGATCTGAGGGGCCCAACCTCCCCCAGAATTGTACAGATCGCATGTGGGCACATGAATGGGCTTTCCCACCCTGCCTGTCCGCTCCTCTTGTGCCCTGCACTTGGGAGAGGAAGGTCACAGGCCTGTGGAGTGACAGGGAGCCCTGGTCTCTGTCTGTGGAGCAGGCTGGGTCCCCAGGGAAAGGAGCCATCACAGAGGAGCAGATAGGTGGCCAGAGAGAGGATTTATCAGTGGTGCCACGGTGTCTTCTTAGGTTCGAGGCAGGAGCCAGGCCGGAGCAGCCATGTACTCGCTGTGCTTGCTCCAGGGCAGGAGGGTCCTAGAGGCGTGGCCACTGTCTCTCATTAGACATCACTGTCCTCTGTGCCCTTACACCTTCCCTCGGGACGCTTTGCACCCTGGCACCTCCAATCCCTGGGGTGTCCTGTCTGGTGCCCTCGGCCTTGTGCTAGCCCTGTCCATTGGGAAGGGGTCACCTGCACTTCACTGTCAGTCTGTATTAGGCACTGTAATTTAAGATGGAATCACCTAGTTCTCTGCACCACAGTGGGTGAGAGCAGGTACTAATGTGGCAGAGAAAGGGGCTGGCATCCCCCTGCCAAGGGGGTGTGCATCCTGAGCCACGCTCCCCAGTGTTCACTGTGTCACTTTGCACGTGATGCAGACTGCAGCAGAAACGAGCCGGGGCCTGGGCAGGAGCAGGAACGGGAGCAGGAGCAGAGGCCTCCTGAGGCCCTTGCAGAGCTTCACTGCATCTCCTACTCAGTTTACTTTCTGCCTCCCAGAGCATTTGGGAGGAGACCCAGAGATGGCTCTGTGGCAGTCCTGTGCTCCTGGCTTTTAGGTATGGCAGCTCTGTGGATTTGTTTGGATTCTTGCTGTCTAGGGAAGGTCATGGCGTGGTGATCTTGAATTACCAGGGGTCACAGGGCTGAGCCGGAGGTGGGCAGGGAGACTGCAGCTGTCTCCGTCCTTCCTCCCCTTTCTGAGGGGTCCGTAGTGGGCGGGCCTGACCCTATTGGGGTGAGATTTCCTGTGCAGAATCCACGGAGGCCCGGGACCCCATGCTACACCCCTGGAAGGCCACCACCATTTGCAGTCACATGAGCTTTAAGCAGTGTCCAGTGCTTAGAGCCCACTGGGCATCTCGAGAAGCTGCCTGTGGGAGCAGGGACCCACTCGTCACAGAGGCTCCGGGCTCGCGCTCCTCCTAACCACCCTCTGGTCACATGTTGCATGTCTCCTCGTGCCAGCTCTTTGGTTGGGAGCTTGGGGTCAAGTGTGTGCTTCCCTACCCCAGGGGCCGGGAGGAGAAGGCTCGTGGAGGGCAAATCCCTGGGGCACTTTGGGCAGAGCTTCCAGTGAGCCATGGCTGCTCGAATGGCTCCCAGCTGGTGAAGCCAACCATTTTGCATTCCAGATTATTGCCCTGAACAAAACCAAGGAACGGATGCGCCCTTACCAAAGCCACCAAGAAGATGAGGACCCTGACATCAAGAAGATTAAAAAGGTAGGATGAGTGGGGTATGGCAGTGCATTTAGGATCTGAGCACTCTTTAGAGGCTGAGGCAGGAAGATGGAAAGTTGGAGCCTAGTCTGGACAACCTAGCAAGACTCTGTCTCAGAATTAAAAATAAATCAATCAGAAGGGCTGAGAATGTAGCGCATCGGGAAAGCTGGGTTCATTTCAGGTGATTAGAGAAAATAAGAAAAAGAAAGAAAAGAAAAAAGGCACAAGGCAGGACTCTGGAGTGCTCTGGAGTGCTCAGCATGCCGACCCACTGTTTGCTATGAGGTGAGGTCTCCCAGTGGTGTCCGGCTGAAACAGTACCTTCCCTCCAGGTGACAGCCCGGGCTGCACTGAAGAATCCCAGCTGAGCTCCTGTGTGCTCATGCCGCTCTTGACCCCCACCCCCAAGGAAGGAAGCCTGCACCCCATATCCAGCGCACACAGGCAGGGTGGGGGCACTGTCTACCTCCCAGCTCTGTTGCTCCTGTTTGGGAGAATTTAAAAATTGCATTTGCAAAGCAATTTTCTTCTCCTTTTTTTTTTTTTTTTTTTTCTTTTTGAGACAAACTTTCACTCTATACTTCAGGCTGGCCTTGAACTCACTTTGTAGCACAGGCTGGCTTTGAACTCACAGTGATCCTCCCGCCTCAGACTCCCATGTGTTGGGATTACTGGTGTGCACCACCATGGCCAGATCAAAGCAATTTTTAAACCATTAGTCTTTAGTGCTTGCTTAGGAAGATTTCTTTTTTGGACACACGAGGAATTTGGAGAAAATTAAGTAAAGCAATGCATATGCTCAGTTTGTTTTATTGTGCTTGAGTCCCGTTTCACCTCACAAACAGCAGATCTTTCTGTCTGGCAGATTTATAATCATGCAGTTTTTCTTTTGTGTTGTGTTTTGCTACTTTTCAGTTTTTGTTTTTATTAGCAGATGTTTGCAGTACACAGTGGTTACTGTCCCCATGGGGAGCTGGCGAATGGACACAGCACATCCGAATTCTCTGTCCACCTCCTTCCTGGCTCCTGCCCATCTTTGGGGTTCCCTTCCCATTTGCAAAAGATCTGTCTCCATACCTTCTATGGTCTCTCTTTTGTTTTGCTTTTTGACTTACAGTTTTTAGTTTTTCATGTAAGAGAGACTATGCAGTATTTAAGCTGGTGTGTCTGATTTATTTCCCTTAAGATTATGACCTCTGCATATCCAAGAACAGGGTATAGCTGTCCATTTTCTGATACCCTCTTGATTCTCCTTTTTCAAAGTATTGAAATTATTTCAAAGTATTGGAATGTAAAATTCTTTTGCTCCTTTGTTGGGTGATTCCTAGGCATTTCATTTCTCTTGATGCTGCTGTGAAAGATGTTTCCATGATTTCTCAGTGTTGTGGTTTGTGTCTACGTGGCCCCCAAGCCTCATGTAGTCACAGAGGAGGCCAAATCTGGTGTTTGTGATTGGTTCATTGTCTAGCTCTGGGATTGGTGGTGTGAGTGCTGCACCTGCCAAGGGGCGGAGCAGACATATAATGAAAGGGCGGGAAGAAAGCATGTTTTCCCTTTTTTGCCCTGTTCAATCTTGCTGTTTGCAGCCACCATGAACAGCTGCCCCTCAGCCATGCCACCCTATCTTGGAGCCAGCTCAGTATGGACTAAAACCTCCAAAAACTGTAAGAAATAAACCTTTCCTTCCTTCCTGCCCAGCTCAGCAAATCACCAACAGGGTGAAGACACAACCTACAGAATGGGAAAAATTTTGCCAGCTAAAATTTCTCCTCAGACAGAAGACTAATATCTAAAATATATACAGAACTCAAAAACTGAGACCCCCAAAATAAAAGACCCACTTAAAAAGGGGCTACTGAAGTAACATATATTTCTCAAAAGAAGTAAAAATGGCTAATAAATATATTTATTTATTCCTTCCTTCCTTCCTTTGGGTGTCAGCTCTTTTGTCTCAATAACGAGTGAAAAGTTACTGAGACACTCAGTGAGTTTGTTATTGGTGTGCAGGAATGCTGTTGGTTTTTGAGTGTTGACCTTGTATCCTGCTATTACCAAACTTGGTTGTTGATTCTAGGATATTTGGTGGAGTTTGGAGGGTCTTCTTTGTCCTGTAATGTCATCAGCAGATAATGATAGTTTGGCCTATCACTTTCCTACTGATAGTCCTTTTATTTCTTTTCTAATTGTTCTGATGTTTCCAGAACTGCAGTGAACAGGAGTGGTGATAATGGGTATCCTTGTATTATTTCTGATTTTATAGTGAAAGCTTCCAGTTTCTGACCCTTTAGTATGATGTTAGCTGTTGGCTTGTCATAGATGGATTTTGTTAGATTGAAATAAAGACATTCTATTCCCAAAAAAAAAAGATTATGGCCTCAAGATTCATCCATTTTCCTACATGTGACGCAAGTTTATCCTTTTTATGGCAAAGTGGTACTCCGTCTTTTTTTTTTTTTTTTTTGTCTTTTTCCTTTTTATCGGTACTGGGGTCGAACTCACGACTGCCTGCTTGCAAGGCAGGCGCTTATGTTGCTGAACTAAATCCCCAGTCCATTCCGTCATGTTTAAATACGTTTTATTTATTTATTAATCTTTCAGTGGAACACACAGGATGCTTATGCTATGCAGTGCAATAGGATGTCTTTAGCTCTTTGAGGAAGACTCCTAGTAGGACAAAAGCTGGGCAGAATGGAATTTCTCATTTTAGTTTTATGAGGGATCTCCATAGTCATTTCCTTGGTGATTGTACCAGTTTACATTCCCACCAGCAACGTAGAAATCTTTATCCCCTGCAGTCTTGCCAGCAGTTGTTACTGTTTGATATCTTGATGGCAGCCGTTCTTTCTGGAATGAGATGGAATCTTGGTGTTGTTTTAATTTGCATTTCTGTAATGGCCAACAATGTTAAAGTTTTTTTCATATATTTATTAGCCATTTTTACTTCTTTTGAGAAATATCTGTTCAAAATATCTTTTGAGAAATATCTGCCCATTTTAAGTGGGTCTTTTATTTTGGAGGGTCTCATTTTTTGAGTTCTTTATATATTTAGATATTAGTCTTCCGTCTGAGGAGAAATTTTAGCTGGCAAAATGTTTTCCCATTCTGTAGGTTGTGTCTTTACCCTGTTGGTGATTTGCTGAGCTGGGCAGTAGCTTTTTAATTTGATGTGATTTTGTTTGCTGATTCTTGATGTCATTTCTTATAATTGCACAGCTTTTCCAGAAGAAAGACTTGCACACTCTCCAGGCCACTGCCTTTGGATTTTTTACAATTCCAATTTTGTTTTGTGTTCTTAATTGTCTCATGTAAGACACACTGCTTGGTATAAAATTATGTAGAAAGCATCCTATTTGAAGCACTCTTCCTGGATATACAGTTTCACATCTTAATGTTTTCTTATTCCTGTTTTTCTATATTAAAGCACTATTTCATTTTCACTGTAACAAAAGTTTAACTAAGTACTTGCTTGGGTTTGGCATAGAAGTAATTCTTTGGACTAAGTCGAATATTTTCACTTTAAAAGAAATAAAAAAGCAAAACCATTCTTTTCTTAGAGTTTAAAATTTTATTTTGAATTTGGTTTCTGTTATTGCATTATAAGATTAGTGCTATTTCTTTTCTTTTAACAGTGTACAGTTGCATGTAAACAAAGATATTAATAAAATCCAATTTTCATCTCAGCTCCATGGAAGCTGGTCTTTTAGTAAATATGAGAAGCAGCTGCTATTATGCACAGAGAACACCTGCCCAAGAGCACAGAGCGATTGCATTTAACTCTAAATTTAATTGTTGATTTTTAAAAACACTTCTATTTAATGATAAAATATATTTTTTACATTTTTCTACCGTTTTAATTCTTAATAGAAGTAATTTTTAAATGCGCTTCTGAACTTATTCAGTAGGTTTCGAAATTAGCTTTATGATCTTTAATTTCCTAAATCAAAGTCATATCTGTGGAAAGGAATGCATTTGCAAGTTGATTGCTTCTTTATTCTTATCTTGGAAAAATGTAATTTTTTTCATGTCAGATTTGCAACTTAAAGTTGGTTGTAACTCACAGGAATTTTCCATTAGATCGCCCCAAGAAATACACATATAATTTCCCCATGTAATTTTTTTGTGGCACTGGGATTGAACTAGGGCTTTTCACTGAACTACCTCCGTTGCCCTTTCTATCTTTTAGTTTGAGACAAAGTCTTGCCACATTTACCAGGCTCTGAACTTTCTGTCCTCCTGCCTCAGTACCCCCAGGATAGGGTTTCAGGCATGCACCACCTCACCCAGCAGTTCCCCCACAGAATCTATCAAACATGCTTAATGGTACTGTTCAGCTTCAATGCCTGCATAATAGTGGGTCAGCATCTGAAGGCAAATGAGGACATGGTAGCCACTGCAAAGAAGGATCAGGGTCCAAGCACACGGTCATTTAGACCATGTAGGAAAAGAGTGTTCAAGAAAATTTAAAGAGTGTAAAGAAGTGTTGGGTAACAGTGCTCTTAACAAAAGCTTGGTAGTAAATTGACACTTTAGTTATTAGTGAATTTGCAGGGTTGTTTGTGGCTGAATCTGCCACATCTAATGTGACAAATCTCAATCATCCTATCATTTTTATATTTAGAGAAGACTTCACAATTCTGGGTCAGTTGTTTTGTAGATGAGGAAACAGGATCAGAGTCCAAGGTCGCCCTGTTGGTCGGTGGTAGAAACTCTGGGTAAGGACAATGATGCAAACCCATCTGCTCAGCACCCAGGAAGTATCTGGGCATTTGGAAGGCACACAATCGGGGTTTGTTGATTGACTGAGTCAAATGGTGCTGTGTCTCAGATTTGCTTATAGTTTTTTTATATCATAACTAATCCAGGTCAGTCCTAGAGTCCATGATGTTTCTGCAAAATATATTTTATATTAAATTATATTTCATGTTCTTTTTCACAAAGTAATCACTGTTGCAAGTAGTTTATATTCATATCATGCACGATAATGAGTAAGTTTCTTTACTATTAAAAAAGCCCTGCTGGGAAGTGGCAGTCCGGTTACAGCTGGGTGATTTACCTTCAGATTCAGTGTGGTCATTGGCAGAAGGGGGGAGCTGAATTCTGAGGTTTATTTTTGAATCTTAAAAACCAAAACTCAACAATGTGAAGAAATCAGAGACCCGATTTAAAACGGGCAGGATTTAAATACACCACTGTCCAAAGACATACACAAATGGCCAGTGAGCAATTGAAGAGATGTTCAGCACCACGGATCATGACAGGGATGCAAATATAACCCACAGGGAGCTGTCACTCCCCACTGGCCATGACCGCTGATGTCACAGAAAGACAGGAAATGGCTTGGTATGGGGAAGCCATGCAGAATCAGGACGCTGGCGCCAGGTAGCTGGGAGCAACCAGTGTGGAAAACGGCTGCTAAAAATTTAAACAGCAGCATTGCCCTGCCAGCCAGCGATCTGCATCCCGCTAAAGGGCCAAGGGAACGAGGGAAGGGTGCTGCAGAGATGCCCATGTGCCCGTGCTCGGGGCCCACTAATGCAGCAGCCGAGAGGGGGCACAGCTCCAGTGGCCAGTGACAGCCACTCGGAAGGACCCGATGGAGGCTGTTCAAAGATCTCTTTCCAGACTCACCAACCACCGCTGACCCATGTGCTTGAAAATCATGAAAAACCACCAACTGGATACTTAAAAATCAACAGGGGAGGTGTCTCAGAGCACGCTGGCCTCTCCTGCATGAGGCCCTGGGTTCAGTGCTGTGCTATTAAAAAGAAAACATGGTACATTTTCAGTTTGCTTGAAACCACAATTTTAAACAGTTTTTTAAAGAGAGCCCTTCAATGTCTTCCTTTCTTGAAGTGTTATTAATAAATGTGAAGTGCTATATTGTAGAGTTCATGTGGAGAAGCCTGAGAGCTTAAACTATGGGAGAAACTCCTGAACCTGAGAAAAAAATACTGTGCTTAAAATCATCCTTTTTTCTTGCTATTTGGAGAAAGCCTGCCTTTATCTTCTTGACAGCAGACACTGGTGTCCCCATGAAGGTGCAGTGTGTTCTTCTCCTAGTCCTGAAGATCTGATCCCAAGATCTTTGCATGAGCCATGGGCCCAGCCCTTTCTCTAGTTTCTGTTTTGAAGCAGGGTCTTGATAAATCACCGGGCGAAGATCCTCCTGCCTCAGTCATCATGCCTGGTGTAAGAAAGCCAGGCCCACAGGTCACTGCAATTCTCTCTGTTCTGCAGGTCCAGAGCTTCATGCGGGGCTGGCTGTGCAGGAGGAAGTGGAAGACCATTGTGCAGGACTACATCTGCTCTCCTCACGCTGAGAGCATGCGCAAGAGGAACCAAATTGTGTTTGCCATGGTGGAGGCCGAGTCCGAGTACGTGCACCAGCTCCACGTGTTGGTCAACGGCTTCCTGCGGCCCCTGCGCATGGCTGCCAGCTCCAAGAAGCCGCCCATCAGCCACGACGACGTCAGTAGTATTTTCCTTAACAGGTGGGGCTTTGCCCAAGTCCAGAGTCAGGCAAAACCCACTTGCAGGTCTTAGAAGATCTCTTCCTTATTATCAAAAGGTTAGGCTGCAGGATTCCATCTCCATGGCTCGTGATTTTCACAGTAATGAAGCCAGCACTGCATTGCATTTGGTTGTTAGTACCAGTTCACAGACCTCTGGAAGCATGGCTTTCTGCTTCCTCAGTTTACTTTGCTTCTGTGGTTGTGTAGGGTGAGTGTGTGGGAAAGATACTGTCTCAGTCACAGAGAGGAATGAGATATTGGGGATCTTTGCATCTAGTTTACACACGAGCACTTTTAGAAGATGGAAACTAAGGGCCTGAGAATCCTTGCTGAACTTAATTGCTCAACAGATATTTATAGTGTTCTTATTACTGATGATTAATTGCTGAACAAAGCAGAAAGTTTCAAGTTTCATGGGATTAAATTTGGATGCAAACAGACAGACCATGGATAGTGAATAAATGAAATGCGTGAGGTGTGATTAAAGTGGTGAGAATGATGGAGTAAGTATGTTTGAGGTGAGGGAAGGATTTTGAGGGGGATTCCTGGCAATCTGCTTTTTATTTCAACAATTGCTTTTACCTTCTGTGTTATGCCAAGCAGCTATATTGGTGGAACAGAATTTGCACCCAGAATATAGCTGCAAGGGAGTCTGGGAAACATAGTCTGTCTGAAAGGAGGAAGGAACATTGACTGAAAGAATATTTACAAAACTCGACAAACTTGATTTATTTTATAGGCTGGAGCAAAAAACACTCCTTTTTAAAACTTTTTTTGGGGGGGGGATTACTGCTAGACAGGTGCTTGTGCTGCTGAGCTAAATCCCCCCCTTATTTAAACTTTCTATAAAAAAAGCATCACAGCCTTCAAGCTGTGCCTTGTTTATTTCATGGACCCTTTGGACATAGTGATCACTTCTCCTTGATGTGAATTCTAATGGAATTTGACTTACAGCAAGCCAAGTTATTTCACTGAGAGGAGTAATTCTGTTTTTAAAAAGTTTCTAAATGTTGTTTTTTATTTTCCTTAGTTCATGTTTGCAGTACATAATGTTTACATAAGATTATTTTGGGGAGTTGGTACATGGACATGACACCCTGTAATTCCTTTTTTTCATCCTTTTTCTTCTCCTCTCTCTCTCTTCCTTCCATCTCTTGTTTCCCTTCTCATTTGAAGAATAGCTGTCTCCCTATTTCTTTTATTTTGCTCTTTGTTTCTAATTTGCATTTCTCATATAAGAGAAACCATGTGATATTTAAGCTGGTGCATCCAGTTTATGTCACTTAACATTATGGTCTCAAGGTACGTCTATTTTTCTGCAAATGTTTCAAGTTTATATTTTATATGAACAATACATATATGCAGAAATGTTCAACATCGCTTGCCATTAGAGAAATGCAAATTATAACAATGCTTGAGATTTTAACCTGCCCTGGAAAGAACGGCCACATCAAGAAATCAAATAATAACAATAACAGATTGTTAACAGCTGGTGAGGCTGTGGAGGGAAGGGTGCAATTCTACATCATAGAGAGGACGTCAACTAGCACAACCACTGCTGTGGAAGTCAGTGTCGAGAGGCCTCAGAAACTAAAACTAGAAATTCCATTTGACCCAGCTCTTCTCTTTCTAGAAAGCTCCCTGTGAGAATTAAAGGCATTGCATCACAGTGATCCACGCACACCATATTTATAGCAACACTGCTCGTAAGAGCTAAATCTTAGAAGCAGCCTGTGTGTCCACCTATAGAGACATGTGTAAAGAAAGTGTGGTATTTGCGCACTAAAGAATTCTGGTTTTGATTGTGCCAGTGCTTTAATTCAAAAAAGATGTTAAAGGCTTGTTGTGATGTGTTGATGTAATAAGAGATCTTCTCTTCTGTAGCTACCCTTCTTGGCCCCTTTAGGAAGGTGCAACCCTAATTCATGCACAGTTCTCATTTTAGTATCAGTGTAGGTTTCACCCTTTTCAGAGGAGTATGTTACATTTCTGTAGAGGGGAATACAGTTCTGTCAAAAGGTTTGGTGTGGATTTCTCCCCTCCCTCCTTCTGTCAAAACTTGTTTCATTGCAAGAGAGGCTCCTTATTTGGGTTCGCAGAATGAACTATGAAAGGCAAAGGGACCCCGCCTTTAGTAGTGTGACAATCAGTCTGACTGCGGCTCTGAGCGTAGAAAATGCGCTTTCACTGGAGTGAAGGGGGCTGCTTCTGGTCTTTCAGTGTTTGGCGCATACTTTGGGGCTTTTACTGCTCATTAGACTTCTTTGACTAAGCAGAGACACTGTGGTGGCCAAGTCGTATTATTTTTCTCCTTTTTTGAAACAGCGAGACAATCATGTTTCTTCATGAAATATTCCATCAAGGACTCAAGGCGCGGATTGCGAACTGGCCCACCTTGATTTTAGGTGAGTGTGTCCTGTCACCCCGGTGTCAGGGGTGTCTGCGGCTGGAGTGGATGAACCTTGGCTGTCCTGAAGCTTGGCTATCTGGCCTCCCCTGCTGCCCTGGGCTCCTTCCCCACGGGAGCCATCTCGGCTTGTGGGTTCTTCGGCCCTGCCTGGGTAGTTGCCTTGTGGCCACTCAGGCTGAGTCCTGTTCTGCTTCCAGTGTGCTCTCCCTGACCTGCCCTTCATCGGGCTTTTGGAGCAGGACCCTGTGTCCCCCCCAAGCGGGACGCCCCCTGCCTTCCCCTCAGGTGCACGTAATTTACTGCGCGTTGAGGGAAATGGCCACTGCCTTCCTCTTTTCCAGCCGATCTGTTCGATATCTTGCTGCCCATGCTGAACATCTACCAGGAATTCGTGCGGAATCACCAGTACAGCCTCCAGGTGCTCGCCACCTGCAAGCAGAACAGAGACTTCGACAAGCTCTTGAAGCAGTACGAAGCCAACCCTGCCTGCGAGGGGAGGATGCTGGAGACCTTCCTGACCTACCCCATGTTCCAGGTACCTGCTGGGGGCCGTCCTGAGAGGGTGCTAGGGCCGCTCTGAGTCCCCGATGCCTGCTGTGACTGGAGAGGCTCAGACTGCTGCCTCCTGTGACAGGCGGGTGGGCCATGTGTGTGCTGTCTAGTTCACAGAAGAAGCCAGGCATCTTCTGATCCTCTTCTCTTTTCCTTCCCTCTTTCTTTTCTTTTTCTGTGCTCCCTCCCTCCCTGTCTGCCTCATTCTTTCTCTTTTTTCTTCCCTCCCTCCGCACCGCCCTCATTTCTTCCTTCTCTCCCGCCCTCCTTTGCTTCTTTCTTTCTCTGTGCAGTGCCCGGGTCGCCTCCAGGGTCTCTCACAGGCCGGCAGGTGCCGGCCGTCCCACTGAGCCCGCTCCCAGCCCCGCAGGCAGACAGTTCTGAAGCGCATAGCTGGGAATGATTTTCCGGAAAAGCAGCGCAGTTTTCTCTTTATAGAAAGTTTCTACCCAGACCTCTTGCATGGAGTCTCCTCCTCCAGCCTGTTTAAAAATATTATTAGGTTTACAGAAATAGGATTCTGTGCAACTGTTCGAGTGAATGGTGGTTGCACAAAAGCTTCTGGGGCCCGGAGTGCCTGCCGGGAAGGCCTGCGTGGTGGCCCATCCCCCAGCCCGATAGCGCCAGGGCCTCCCTGGTCAGAGAGGCTGTGGGACGTGGCCAGCAGCCCTGGCGGGGTCTCCTGGCACCTGGTCAGGCGGCCTCACCAAGGCAGGGAGGTGGCCAATGATCAAACGTCCTTGCTTCTTCTCTGGGTTTTGGGCTTCACCACTGATGACCGCAGAGGCCCTGCACGCTGACCCTTCGGTTCTTTGCAAAGTGCCGATTCTGATCTGCACAGGCTCTGGGTTCAGCGTGGAATTTACGGGGCTTCTGTGAGGCTGCCTTGGTGTCCCATGGTGACTCAAACTTGCTGGTCATGTGTGTCGAGTTTCAGGGAGCGCTGTGTCCTCGCAGCAGGCGTCGTCTGCCTGGGCCGTGTTGTTGCCACGCTACTGTGGCTCCTCATGGCCCTGGGTTTGTCAGTCCTTCCCAAAAACCCAGAGTCACAGCAGACATTTAGTAAGATTTCTCACAGCCACAAAGATGCACTTGAAACCACTGCAGGATGCTGAAACTTTATAATACTTGCTTCCTTACAAAACTAAATTGTTTGAACTTTTGCCTCTTAGAAGAAATATGTCACAGAAAAAAATTCAGACTTTTATGTTTACTGTATACTGACTTGGAATTTGAGGTTTTATTTATAGTGACACATTTTATATAATGTGTCATTCCTGTGATTCTATGGGAGTTTTGGGTGGTTGTCTCAGGTTATGATTCAGCACCCCAAATGGTGTCTGTTCAGTATCTCCAAATCAGGTGAACATACATTGAAATGTGTGGTGAATGTTTAAATTTTTAAAGAATTAGTACAATGAGAGACGTTGCCTTTATCTCCCGTCCCCACATTCTCCAGCCTGAGCACACTCATGATCCTTGCCACTGTCTGCAGCAGTTCCGGAGTCCCTCTTTCCTGAGTTGTCTTTACCAGGTGTGATAAAAAACATGGTGAATGCTGGTGCTGAGCATCGTCCAACAAAAGGCAGCTCCTAAAGTAGGACGCTGTGTCCTCGTCCTCTTTAGTCCCCAGGTCTGGCACCATGAGACTTCTGACTCTTCCCTGAAGTTGAAATGACCAGGAAAGAGAAGCATGACATCAATGCAGAATATCACGCCAGCCAGGACAGTGTTGAGGTGTTGAGGGAGGAGGATTTAGGAATGCAGCCTGGTGTGTCCACAGCCTGGGAAGGGTTTTGAGGGAAGTCAGAGCACTGTGACTTCAATTATAACAGATTCCTTACATGTCCTGGTTCTCAGTGTTTTTCCGTCACACTGCATACCCAGGTAGAGTTGCGAGAAGCGCTCGGAACAGTTAGGGTCCTGGTTCCCTTACCCACACCTGGGATCCTCGCCCGCCCACTGTCCAGTTCCCTCCCAAAGCAATTCTCATCGCCACAGCAGAGGAACTGTGCTTGCCCCAGGCGGTAGGCTGGGGGAGGTCTCTGGGTTTCTTAAACTGCCAGGATCCTCTTCTGTCCCTGACCCTGCTACAGCCCAGAGCGTGATGCCCTGCCTCCCTGACTGAGCGTTTCACCAGCCCTCGGGAAGTCCCGTAATGTCAGACAAAGACACCTGGGCTGGAGACATTGAGCAAGGGAGCTAAGGTTCATGTACCTCCAATTGTGAGCTGGGATAGCCAGGTGACTCTGTCTCTGTGAACATTCCCGGCTGGCAGTTTGTGCAGGGCTCCTCTGTGCATGGTACGGAGCCTGCTGTTAGTTCCAGACCCTCCCTCAAGACCACGGTGACCTCAGCTCCACAGCTGGAGCCCAGACACTGGAGTCCTCAGACTCCCTTGAGACCCGGGTGACCAAAGGCTGCATTGCATCCCAGCCTGCTCCAGGGAGCCCTAAGCTGAGAGGGCTCAGCAGAGTCAGCCCAACTGCAGGATGTGAGCGGGCAGGGAAGGCACCTGAAGTGTTCCTCGCTTCCCTGTCCTATTCCAAATAGACCAAGAGGGGAAAGCACAAGAGATTCGCCCCAGCCTGGTCTCCCTGCCTCTGCCTCCTCTCCAGTAACCCAGACCCGACTGGGCCAAGCTGTCCTGCGTAGGAGGAGCCGGAGGGTTTGCTTGCTGGGTCTCCTCATTGCCGTCTCCTCATTGCTGTGGTCTCTCACCCACAAGGGGAGATAGCCTGGAGCTGTCTGCTCCCCCAGGTCGGGATGATCCCCTTCCCTTCTTGGTGTGTGAGGGAGTTAGCAGTGCTGTTCTGGCCCCAGCCTGGCACCCAGCTACAGCTGGGTGTGTCTCGGAGGAAGCCAGGGCACTGCACCCTTTTGTCACAGAGCAGTGATGGAAAAGGTGAGGTTGTTCTCATAGCCAGGCGCCCTCAGGCCTGGGCTTTGTCTGGAGCTTGGATGAGGAGGCAGAGGCTGGAGGAGGGGCAGGGGCAGAGGAGAGGGCCTGGAACTTGTAGCTTGTGTGTGTGCAAACATATGTGTGCAAGCATGTGTGTGCAAGTATGTGTGTGCGCAGACCACAGAGAAGGCGAGTGTGTTATTCCTCCTCCCGAGGTTTTGTCTTTCTTATTTTTTTTTCTTGATGCTGTTACTGGCTTTGTTGATCTGGGGAGAAATTGGAGAATTTGGAGGTTGCAGTGAAATTTCTCTCCATCGAACAGTGGGACCAGCCAAGGCAGGCCCTGGCAAGGAATTTGTTACAGAAAACACTGTTATTAACCTGATTTCTACTCCTCGGAGTCAGCGTGCTTTTGGAGTTGGCTGCAGCCGAGTTGGCCCCGCTGGCTTGGTTCCGTGAGCACTGAGCCCACGGTCCTTGGGCAGCTCTGACCGGAACAGCGGCAGCACGATGTTCTCAGGAGGCCACTGCTTGCCACTCTGTCTAGCTGCTGGCTGAGATGACAGATAACTAATTGGTGTCTCCAAAGTGACAGAGACTTGTCCCTTTGGTGAACGCAGAATTTTGGTTCATTTAGCACTTATCAGGATGCCTGGGTCTCTGGGAACGAGTTTATAAGCAGCTCTTTCTGGGTCTGCTTGTGGTTATTTGTTCCTCCACCAGAAAGTGCCAAGGCCCAGTGACCGGCTGCCAAGTTCAGCTGCAGCCACTGACGCTCAGCCAGGTACCCTGAGGCCTGCGAAGCCACCTTCTAAACGAGCTTTTGTGGTTTTCAGTGTGGACCCTGAGCAGGGGCCCCTCTCCACCTTGCCTTGGTTTCCTGCAGAACGCTGGCTTTGGAGGAACTTTGACAAAGGACCTCAGAATGTGTGTGTGTCCCTGGACACTGCACTGGCCAGTGCTGTGTCATTCAGGGAAGGACTCTTGGAATTAAGAGGCAGAGGCCACCTCTGTGTCCCTAGGGGAGGGTCTGTTCCATCCCCCTGCTCTGATTGAGGGTTCTCTGTGCTTCCTGATGCCGTCCGTGACTTTGTCCCTGGGCTGCAGTGAGACGCCTGTGGATGCTGCCCGCCCCCCAAGAACGATCTGTATGAGTGGACACCCACTCACCCCAGGGCAGAATGCAGGGGCACACACGGACCCATGGAGCCAGTCTTCTGTTCCCATTCTCTGAGTTTGTTTCCTGTGCTGACTGAGACCCAGTCCACAGAGGAGACCACAACACAGGTTCTTGGGAAACAGCTACACAGCGCGGCCACAGCTAGCCCAGACTCTGTAGCAAGACCCTGTCCCACGCACCACGTGGAATCATTGTAACTTGAGTGAAAGCACTAAGGTGGTCTATTAAAGCCTTTGTCCAGGTGCCAGGGCTGATTTTGACATAATTTGGTGAGTCCATCCATAAGCAAAAGTACAAATACGTCATCTAATTAAACGTTATATATTTTTTTTACTGTGAAATGAAACTAGATCGCAATGTAATAAGGCAATATATTTTCTCCCAGGTTTTAATTGTTAAGGAGAACATTGCTGTAGGATGGTTGATCTTTTAAAAAATTCTGTAAACAAACAAAAATATCTCTGAAGGTACCTAGAGTGACTTGATGGCAACTATGTTCTTTGAGTTTCAAAAACTGGGGTTCAGGAAATGTGTGGTCCTGGACCACGTGAAAGAAACAGGACAGGTCATTGATGGCCGCCTTCTCCTGCACCTTTAGGGGGTCCTCTTTGGCATGTGTTCCATGTGACCCACAGTTCCTCCTAAGTGTGTTTCTCTGAGCAGGAACACGGAGGCTCGAGTGGAGCTGAGGCGGCCACGGCAATGACCACGCCATGTCCAGGTCTTGTGGAGCCCGCCCTGACCGCTGTCTGCTTTCAGATCCCTAGGTACATCATCACACTGCATGAGCTCCTGGCCCACACGCCCCATGAGCACGTGGAGAGGAAAAGTCTGCAGTTTGCTAAATCAAAGCTGGAGGAGCTGTCCAGGTACGCGGGGAGCCGGTGAGAAGGACCAGAGCGGGCATCCAGTGGCTGATTTGGAGTTGAGGTCTGGTACAGGGCGTGCATTCTAGCAAACTCGAGTCCTGATCCCCAAGTCCCCTGGTGGCCAAACGCAAGCTCGTGCCAAGTTCTAAACCCCCATTCGCATTAATTTTAACCTAGAAAAAAAATGTATCTTTGGGCCAGGTTTTATAGCAGGTAAATTTATGGAGCTAATAGTCAGTGTATTTTGATGTTGATTTGGAAATGTTCACTTTATTTTCTCAGCATCTACAAAAAATGACTTTAAACCTTCACACTCAAATTTAGCAAAACACTGGAGAAGGTGCTTGGCATTTCCAAGCAATGTTTTGCTGCCCTGGGCACTTATTACCATCTCAATCCATTTAGTTTATACAAGACAATGCCAAGGTGTCTGTTTTCTCTGCTCCCAACCTGTGGTGCTCCCCTGCCTAGGAAGCAAGTGGTCCGTAGATTGCTTTCTGGTTGCATGCAAAGCAAACTCCCCAGGATGCTCGCTGAGGGCCGGCCCTTTATGTGTGGAGCACTCTGGGCTTGCTCTGGCGTATGGCTTGAGCCTGGTGTCCCGGTCTGCTTCCCGCTCTGGCCCTGTTCCATTGGTCCAAGTTCACAGCCGACCCTCACAGCTGGGCCCTTCCTTGGCGATGTGCTGGGTGGTAGCTAACAGCCCCTCTGTGTTCATCACAGGGTGATGCATGATGAAGTGAGTGACACTGAGAACATACGGAAGAATCTGGCAATCGAGAGGATGATCGTGGAGGGCTGCGACATTCTGCTGGACACCAGCCAGACCTTCATCCGCCAAGGTGAGTCCCCAGGACCTGGCCATCTGGCTTGGTATCTCTGGCAGAGGCACAGCTCGCTTTCGGGAGCAGGCCCGGCTTCGTGTGTGATAGGCACGTACGTCTCTCATGCAGGTCCCCTCTTCGGGCTTGGCCTGGGCTGCAGTTGAGGCCACCTCTGTGCTGTTTCTTTCCAGGGGCCATGAAAAACAGCAGCACAATAATAGTAAGGTGTGCATGTGACAGTAAGGTGCACGCCGGCTGGACTCTGCTCCTCAGTGGACACAACGTTCTCTGCAGCTCCCAGGAGGATGCCACGTCGGGCTGGCCCCCTGGTGCGGTCATGCCAGGTGGTGACGACATCCAGGCCAAAGCTCAAGAGAAACTGGCATTCCTCAAAACTCTGGCACATACGAGTGGGGACAATGTCCGCAGCGAGAACAGCTGTTTCCTGTTTCCATTTTTCATCAGCACTTCCGGGCCAGCCCCACCTGGTAGCGTTTGAGTGTCCTGGTAACTCAGGTCACCGGATGGAATCGCTCCCCATCGATCCCTGGGGTCTCTGGCTGTAGACAAGCAGTCGTGCATGTGGGTGGACTTCAGGGCACTCACCTTGTGAAGCCAGCTTTGGAAGGGGCAAGGATATTTGTGTGCAGAAATTGAAGAATTAACGTCCGGACAGCGCACCTTCCTCTTCAGGTTCGACTGTAGGGAACCAGAGCCAGCTGTACCCCAGGTCATCTTTCAGGGTTTGGATACTTTGGGAAAGGGAAGCAGGCTTGGAGCGCAGTAATCGATACAATGTATTGCACACAATGATCGGTTTGAGCTTGGTGAGGAGTGGAAGCTAATGTGGAACTTGAATTGGTCATTAATGTGGTTGCCGAAGTGCTGATGACATCTGAAGACCTGTGCATTGCTGCTGCCGCCTGCATGTTGTGCTGCTTAAAATCTTTTGTTTTTTTTTTTTACCTCATTGAACAAAATGTTAAAGATGTGCACATTCATTTTTGCAAAGAATGCTCGAAGACTTCAGTGCATGTCATTCTATCTTCTGTTATTTATTTACAAGGAGTGAAGCCTTACAAATATGTTAAAGTCCAGGAGTGTATTTTAGAGAATGATTCCTTTTCCCATTTCTGGCACTGGATAATCATGGAATGTAATGTAGGCCTTTGTGTTGCCCCTCTGTCCTCTCATGGATTGTGTCCCCGTATTTACTTCCTGCAGTGTCTGTGCCTTTCCAGTGCCGTCCCTGGATTCCCATGTCCTTTTGTGCCCATGGACAGTGGGCTCAGGTCAATACCCAGTGGAAGGAGTCGACCTTCCGTCCTGATTCTCGGGCCTGGCGAGTGCCGCTGGTCCTCTGGGTTCGCTCTGGTTTGCGCACCTCCCTCCGGGTCACTGTGAGCCCTGATGTGCAGCACTTGTGGCTTCTCCGTGCCTCACCTCATCTGGTAAATGCTTGACGTCACCACTACTGCAAACTGGGCATTGGACTAAACTGGATTTCTTGAATCGCCATTATGGTTGTAAGATATTTTATACCTTGCTTCGGTTCGGAATTCACCATAATACCTCCTAATTGAACTGTGATTTTTAATATGTGAGAATGGAAACCAAAGTTGACCAAAGCTACTGTACCACTTCTGAGAGGCCTGTGATGTGGGCAAGCGTGACCACACCTAACATTTACTGTGTTTCTAAAAACTTAGGCTGCATAGATGTAGGCTTGAAAAAAATGCCAAAAATGAAAAAGTGCTAGAAGGTATATATATGGAATAAGTTGTGTGTGGTGAAAAGAGCTCATGCACCCTTCTCCCAGCAGTGAGATCCAAGTGCTGATTCTCATTTCCGGCCACATATTTAAGGTGCCTCTGTCAGCTGTCCTTGTTTCTGATATTGCTGTTGTGTCTGTGACAATTTGGTGATTGCTTTTCAGTAGTATTTTCCTGCATATTTTATCTCGAATTACCCGATACACTGAATAGGATTATTCAATAAAGCCTGTTTCTGGATGTTAGACCTTGACCTGAAAATGGAGTGCAACAAATCCCTGCAGACTCCTGGCAGAGTTCGCTTCATCCTGCCGTGGCTGCCACCGCCATCACTTTTACTAAATCCCCTTAGCTGTCCTAAAGAATCGCAGAGGTGTTTTGAAAAACTGTTATTCTTTGAAACTGTGAGTCTATTTTCTATTAAATGGAGCATGGCTTACCTCTAATGGTTTGCTGGTGTTTGTGTTAACTACTTTCCTGGATGGTAGAAGACCCATTTCCGTGTGTGTGTGTGTGTGTGTGTGTGTGTGTGTGTGTACATGCGTGCATGCTTGCACTTTTACGTGTTTCTGCACATACTTTCAACCCTGTGTGAACTTTTTTTCTGAAACTAGAAAAAGCAGTCATCCTGCTCACTCAGAGGTGGTCTCAGGATAGGTGCTTCCACCACCTCCAGTGGAGAGGTAGTGATATAAATCATGTGCATTTTATTGTACATGACTCTGATCGTTAGCATGGTGTGATAAACAGGAGGTGAAAGAGTGTATCATACTGGTGATCAAATGCTGCCACTCTAAAATTCTAACAATAAGCATTATTCCAAAATCTAACAATAAGTGTTGAGTGGTTGTGTCAGTGTCGAGCAGTCTCAGGTCCACAGTGCAGCCACTCCTGGGGTCGGAGCCTGGCTCTCTGTTTCCTGGCTCCCCATTTCCTGGCTCTCCGTTTCCTGGCTCCCCATTTCCTGGCCCCCAGTTTCCTAGCTCCTCGATGCTGGACAGCGTGCTGCACCTTTCTGACCTGTCTCCTCTCCTCGCACTGGAGTTAGCGGCAGTGCCTGTCTTTCATGATTATCATGATGGTTGCATGAGCTATTGACCTTACAAACGCACCCCAAGTCCAGCTTGTGAGTCACTTAAAAGTAAAGATCTGAGTTTTGGATGGCTTTCTAGTTCCAGAAGTATGAAATGCGTACTAGTCTTTGTTTGATGATAAAGGCACTCTAGGATGACTGTTAGTCCAAACCCGCCACACATCGTCAGCATTGTCCTTGTGGAACTGTGAATCAGGGAAACTAAAGATGACCAAAGACAGAGTGCTTACAAATGAGATGAGATTTCTCCAACACCTTCATCATCCCACTCAGAGCTGTGTGCTTCCGCTGGCTGGCTGGCTGGGTGTGGGGCCATGGCACAGCTTTTCAAATGCCAGACCCGAGGACCTGGACATTGCTTCTCACTTCTGTCCACTGCAGAGCAGAGTGAAGAATCCCAGCGCTTGCCAGTCTCACAGGGCCTTGGTGCAAATCTGGTGACCTCAATGACAGCAGCCTTACTGCAAGACGACCCCAGTGGCTGGATAGACGGATGATGAAGGTGCCACACGCCACCACTTGCCTGTCTGATACTGGGTGCTTACTACTTTTAGCACTAATTCATGTTAACTGGAGAGAATGTTTTCTTCAAGTCTAAAGGTTACATTAAAACATCAGGGAGACCACAGTGTGATGTGCAGTAAATCAGACGCATAAGCTTAAATATCACCTGGTTCCTCCTCCTTGAGAAACTCGAAGTATAAACAAAGAGCAAAAGAAAAGATCGAACAAGAAGTTGGGGATTAGATCTTTCTTCTGTGGGAAGCCAATCAGGAGAGGGAGATACTGAGAAAGACAGGGCGAGAGGGAAGGAAAAAGGAGCGGAGCTGTTTGTGTCCTTGTGCCTCTGCTCACAGGGAGTGTGAACAGGTACTGCAAACAGGCGCCACTAAAAACAAACAAACCTGTTTTAATAAAGCCAGTAAGGGGACTTGTGGGAAAGGGATCTGCCTAAAATATGTCTGCCACGCATCCGGTCTTATGAGCCAGGTGGCACTGGTGCTTTCCCCTTTCTGATCCAATGCGTGGATTTCTTTTCCCCTCTGAGCTGTAGCTTCTGATGTGGAGAAGAGGTGAGCAGTGATCGATGGAGCCTGTGGATGTATGGTTGCCAAGGAAACGCTTATTTTATTTTATTTTGAAATTCACATAATAGCTAATGTGTGAGCCAGGAGTTGATTCTGTCACTTCTGACTGGAAGTCACTGCACTGCTAGGCGCATTTACTAAGGAGCACGCTGCTATCCTGCTTTCACAGGCTTGGTGAGAGCCATTCGGAACACGCCTCACAGCCCCTTCAGCCCATCCCGACCCTGTCCTGTTCCTGTGCGTTTGTCCAGGCTGTCATGGCTGTCACAGGCCCTCACTTTGGAGCTGCGCTGGCTCAGCCACACCCAGGGCCAGGCCCCTCACTGTCACTGCCACTCCTGTCATTCCCTGTCCGGCACCCAGTCCCTGGCTGCCTCTCACTTAGACATGACCTTAATGGGCTGCCCAGCCGAGGCTCAGTTTCCCCACTGTGAAGTGGGGCGGAGGGGCTGTAGCAGGCTCTCTAAGGCTCCTCTAGCTGTGATTCGTCCCCAGCAGTCTTCCAGGTCCTTCTTTGCCCCTGTGAGCCCCCACCTTGTCCCTGTTACTCCTCACTTGCCCTCCGCCTCCCAGCTCCCCTGCAGCTCTCCTGAACTCCTCTGCTTTGCAGATGCCCTTCCTGCCCAGCCTCCAGCCTGTCCACCAGCCCACCTGACCTTCATTCCTGCTCTTGCTCAGCCCCTTTCCTGAGTCCAGCCTTCTCCTGGCCCTTTGTCCCCAGGCCCAATCTCTCCCCAGGACTGGTTCCTCCATATTCCTTGGGCACAGAGTGGCTGCCCACTCCCTGTGTGTCAGACATCCCACCTCATCACTCACCTCAGCAGAGGCTGTGGGTCAGGGCCCAGGGCCCAGGTCCTCTGCCGCCCTGCACATCTCTGCTAAAAGGCAGGGGCACTTTGGAAGACTCATGTTAATATGCAGATTTTTGTGACTCATAATCATGGTTGTACTGCTTTAGGTGTGTACGTTCTTTATAGAATGAAGAACATTACTGTTTATTTCCACTCAGAGAAATAATCTGTTCATTAAAAGAAAAATCGAGAAACTCAGAAAAAAGGATGAAGAGAAAATCAAGGTTGCTGGCAATCTTCTGTGCCCCGATGACCGAAAATGCTGCTAAGGGCTGAGCACACATCGAGGCTCTGGGGTGGCCGGAGCCTGTGGGGTCCTGTGGTGGATGGGCGACAGATTAAAGTAGCATGAGAAACAGTACCGCTCGGAATTTCGAAGGCAGTACCAAGATGCTTGCAGGAATCGGCCTTGGTACTTTCTGGTTTGCTATTTAACTTAAACAGTGTGTTCTTTTTAGGGTGGGGGAGGCCACCATTTATAGAAACAATTGGAGGTAATCACATTATCCTATAAAGCCCGTGCTACTTCTCATGTTATCCAGGAGATAGTTCTGCTCCTGGAACACTGGGTATAGACTTTGTGCGGTGTATTTTCCACTTAGAGGCCACAATGCATTTTTTCACACTCAATTTAAATGCAACTTGAAATAGCTACCCATTAAAGAACTGTCCTAAGTTGCATTGAATTATATAATTTATGGATTTTTATAAGACACGTGTACTGTACATTCAGTTTTAAAGGACAAAGCAGATTAATATGCTGTTAATCACTTTGAGTGACTCAGAAAGAACGAACTCTGTGCACTTTTGTCCCGTTGCTGCATTCCCGGGTGCGGTGACAGCTTTGGTGCAGTGCTGTGAGGACTGAATCCGCTGGGTCACATCACCAAGGACAGAAGGCGGAAGTGCCTTATTCTCGGAATTCAATTTGAATTTCTTTCAAATGTGTGTTCTCATTGATAGATGATGAATGGACTCTGAAGTATGTTGCAGAAATATTATAGGCAGTCTCATCCTTAAATAGAAGGCATTGTTTATTCTGCCCAAGTGTTGATTTCCTGGTTCTGATGGTGCCTGGGATCCGACCTTGGTACCTTGGGAAATGGGCCCTTGTGTGTACGGCCAAGGGCATGGGCCTTGCTTGGTGTGATTTTAACTGCTGTGTATTCTTCACTTTTGCCACCTCCAGGTTCTCTTATTCAAGTACCTTCCGTTGAGAGAGGGAAACTTAGTAAAGTTCGCCTGGGTTCACTGTCTTTGAAAAAGGAAGGAGAGAGACAGTGCTTCCTGTTTACCAAACACTTTCTAATCTGCACGAGAAGCTCAGGAGGGAAGCTGCACCTGCTGAAGGTACGGTCTCCCCTGCTGCCCACAAATGTCCCTGCTCGCAGGAGGAAGCAAGGGCCATTGCACTGTGACTTTCCCATGCTGCTGTCCTAACCCAGATTGCCATGATCACTTAAAGGGGGAGTAGTGCACAGTGAGCAGCCCATTTACCTCGATTTCGTTGCCAACTGTGTTCAGAATCATAGATATTTAACAACATGTTATCATATGGTGGTGTAATTAAAATCATAACCTGGGCAATATTATTACTGATTGACAACTGCTGAGCTATAAAATATTGGCAAATCACTGCTGTGGTATTTGCTAACTGCTGTTTTATCTAGGGCCCTTTAGCTTGCTGCTTGTTTTGTTAATAAAGTTTTATTGGAACATGACTATCCCCATTTGTTTCCATGTTGACTGTGTCTGCTTTAGTGGGAAATGACAGATTTAACTAGTTGTCGAAATGATATGGTTTGCAAAGCCTAATGTATCTACTCTCTGGCCCATTTACAGGAAACATTGGGCTGTCTATTCCTACTGTTATGATTGTTTAAAAATATAAAGCCGTGATGAAGTTTTCCACTGCATGAATCACCTCCTGGTTGGCAAATCCAGCCCTAAGGCCACTGTGTTGCCAACTTATTTCCATGGTCACCAAATTTTATAGACATCAGGAGCAGGACTGGGGTGGAAGAGAGGGTTTAATTGGTGTGGAGTGAATTCAATCTACCTGGCACACCCCAGCGCCACTGTGGACTCTGAGAAGTTATTTATGGTGCAAGATTGCCACACTTTTGTCTGTGGCAACTGGAATACAGGTTTTGAGATTCAGTTTTCCTGCTGCCCCTGGCTTCCTGCCTCTTACGCAGGAATTGCCCTGTTTCCAGACAGGTGGAGTTCTCTCGCTCATGGAGTGCACACTGATCGAGGAGCCGGATGCCAGTGATGATGACTGTGAGCCACTTTCTGTCACCAGCTGTCAGGGTGGGACAAAAAAGTAAAGCTACTAAAGTCTTTCGTAGTCAGAAAGCACTGCCAAGGGCGGCAGGGGAGGTGTGAGCGTAGCCTCCAGCAGTTGGTCTGGTGGATCACTTAGTGGTGTTAGGCTACCAGGGCACTGAACTGGCTACTGAGTCTGTCCCACAGTAGTGACATTTCAGTGCGGGAGAAGGAACAGCAGTTGAACTAAGGGTTGGATTGTGGACTGGGGTTATAGTTCAGTGTTAGAATGCTTTGCTTCATGTGCAAAAAGCCCCGTGATCCATTCCTAGCAGTGTAAGCCAAAAAACCTGAATTTTATAGATTCTGTAAGTTAAAATAAACACAAAATGTGCTGGAACTCCAGTGTGAAGTAACCTGCTGACTGTGGCTGTGTCATCTGCCACATGTTCATAAGACTCTGCCAGAAGGGTTAAGATGCATGGTGTGCCAGCTCCCCACCATGAGTGTGACCACTATGCTTCAAGCATGCACTACTAAAGATAAAATTTGGAAAAGAATAAGGCTTCCTGTGCTTACCCGAAGTCCTGGACCTAAGTGCGGGCAGACTGCTCCAGCAGAGCCCTGGAGTGCGGCTGTCACTCATAGTTGCTTTTGTCTCTGATCCTCGGGTCTCCGTGCATTGCAGCCAAAGGTTCTGGCCACATGTTTGGACACCTGGACTTTAAGATAGTGGTGGAACCTCCCCACGCTGCACCGTTCACCGTGGTCCTGTTGGCACCATCGCGCCAGGAGAAGGCGGCCTGGATGAGTGACATCAGCCAGGTGAGTGGGGGCTTTGGTTGTGCTGCTTTCTAAAACTGCACAGCATAAACGGTTGGTGAGAATTTTTAGAGATATTGTATTTTAATTCAAAATTTATACCTGAATAAATAAGATGTGGCAAATACACAGGGGAGAACTAGTTAGCCAGGGAGGATAAATCTGAGTCATTGGTAGGAGGAGGGAGCTTGAGGTAAATCAAATACAGAAAGATGGAGATCATGTGGTTTCTCTTATTGAGAGACCCAAAATATAAATAATTTAAAGAGCAAAATGAAGGAGAGAAGATGGGAAACAAGGAAATAGACTTTGGAGGTGGCAAGGGGACTTGAGGAAGGGCTTATAAGAGTGATCAAGATGCAGTAAGTGTGTTATGTACGTGATTATTATGTATCACAAATATACACTAACAGTACCAAAAAACTACATCTGCTTACTATGGTCGCTGCCATTACTATCCCTTATCTTCATAGATGGTCACTGTTGTTGTTTTCTTAAGGTTAGCATTTAACCAAACTGTAGTGATTGCATTTTAATTCCTGGGCATTTTCTGCCTGCTGCAAATAGCACAGATGTGTTTGACAGGATTGGAATTATTCTGTTGGTGATAAATTCTTGAATGACTGCTAAAGTTTTTGGTTATTTGTTTCTCGAGTAGGAAAACAATGAATGATTTAAAAAACTAAGAAAGAAGGAAGGAAGGAAAGAGAGAGAGAAAGGCAGCCAGCCGCAGCTATAGGGAGAGAGTATGCACTCAGGAATAAAAAGAGATACTATCTGTTGTGTAAAATCTGAGCATGAGCTTCTGTATTTTGTGTAGACAAAATTAAGAGGCAGAATTGCTCCTCTTTCCTGGACTAGCAACACCCAGCTCAGGAATTACATCCATTCCCCCATTGCTACATTTGGAAATGTGCCGTGACTGGCCTGGAGCTTCCTGGATCCAAACTCCATGTGAAGGTTGGCTCCGTTTGCTAACTTGGGGGCACAGTGACTCTGTAAGGAAAACATTCAAATGCATGCAGTGGCTCACAGGTGTAGTCACAGCTGCTCTGGAAGCTGAGGTGGGAGGAATTTAAGGCCAGCCTGGGAACACAGTGAATCCCTGTTTCAAAAGCTAAAATCAAGTCTTAAATTACTAAGTGTCTTACTTTCTTCTGGCTGGGACAAAGTAGCCAACAGCCACCACCTGAAGAGAAGTTTCTTTGGGTTGATGTTTTACATTTTATTTTTTATCAGTACCAGGGATCAAACTCAGGACTGCCTGCTTGCATGGCAGGTGCTTATGCCGCTGAGCTAAATCCCCAAGAGCTGATGATTTTGCTCCATTGTTGTCTGGCTGTTCTGGTTTAGAAGTTTAACTAAGTGACTCAGCAGTAACATTCTTCACTGTATGTAAAACAAAGCTGTGAGTGGTATGGCTGCTCTAGGGCAGGTGGCCTGCTTACAATACAAGAGAGAAAAACAGGCTTATCCCTCCCCTATCTCGCTCTTGTTGCTTTTGCTTTCTTCTACCATGGTGAACTTTTACCCCTCTGCCATACACCCTGCCTTGGAGCCAGCTGGTTATGGACTGAAGCCTCCATAAATTGTGAGCTAAATAAATCTTTCCCTCCTTAATTTTGGATATTTTCTCTCAGCAATAAGAGAAAAGGAACCATGACGGAATTTGGTACTAGAGAAGTGGGATCATTTTTCTGACTATTCCTGACCATGTGGTTCAAGAGTCTTTGGGAATGACTTGTGGGAAGAGATTGGAAAGGTTCAGAGATATTGCCTGAAGAGTGGAGCTGGAATGCTTTAGGGTGTTCTGGATGGGAGTTTCTGGTCAGAGCTCAGAAGACCAGAAGGTTGATAAAAGTCTTGCTGGTAAAGACCAGGGTCTGGAGGTTTCTGCTGGGAAAGAAGACTGTATTGGCTGTTAGACTAAAAATGATGTGTTTTATGCCTTAACAAAAAGTTTGTCTTCATTTGGCTTGTGTTCAGAGACTTGGTTGAGACTGAGATTCAGGGTGGTAGACTAATCTGGCAGAAGAAATTTCTAGGTAATCTAATGTTGAGCAAAGGCATGGCTATTATTGGAAGTTTTTTTTTTTTTTTGCCAGATTTGTGTTATGAATCGAGAGCAGAAAGCATAGCAGAGTGATTGAAAAGGTTGTGAGTTTGATGAGAAAAGAAGCTCTAGAAAAGCTGTAGACTATAAAGACAGAGCTGAGGAGATCTCCTTTGCTAAGAAGGAATATGAGAATTTAAAAGATGGTCTGAAGGCATCACAAAAAGCAGTAAGTCTTTACCATGGCAGCCTCAAAACTGCAAAAGTGAAAGACTTTGCTTTGAGGAGAAAGCCTCAGAGCACCATGTTCCAGAATGGCAGCAGCATAGAATAATTGTTCCTCAGAATTGGACTCAAGAGTGCCCAGTGATCTGGGTGTTTAACTCCTATAGCCAGGAGAAAGGAAAGCTTGGCTACTGCTCCAGCTGGTAGCAGACCTTGGAGTCACCCAAATGGTGCTGGTTTTAGGTGCATGCAGAATCCAAGAGTTGTGAGGTTAAAAAGGCTTCCACCTCAATTTCAGGAAGCCTAGGAGGCCAGGCAATTGCACCCCTGAGAGGGCAGTGTGTGAAGCTGTGAGGGTGAAGCCAAAGGGGCAGTGAAGACTCCAGGAGTTTGGAAATGCCAAGATTGTGCATCATCCTAGGAAAGCTGCAAGGAGGGAGCAAAATGGGCCCCAGAGAATCTGTGGGAGTTAAAACCACCAGGAGTGCTGTAGGAGTGGAGCCATCCAAGCCTTTTGGAGCTCACAACTTCCCACAGATGGCCTCAGATGCTGCATGGGGACTACAGAACTTAAAATCCCTGCTGGATTTTGGACTTGCTTTGATCCCATTCCATCATATGCTCCTGTTTGTAACTTTTGGAATGAAAATGTTTATTTTGTGCTGTTGAATGTTGCAAAAGTTTAGCTTTTCATCTATAGAGGGGCTTTCAGCTAAGAGTTTGCCTTACAATTTGGAGGAGACTTAGGACTTGGACTTTTCAACAGTACTAAAACTGTTAGGACTTTGGCAAGTCTTAGAGATGGACTAACTGCCTTTTGTGTAAAGGGATGTACATGAGTCTTTGGGGGCCAGTGGTGGAATGTTATGGTTCTAATGTAGTGTAATGTTGATGGATTTAGTACTGGTTCTTGAGGACTGCTAAACCTGTGTTATAATGTTCAAGTTGTGAGATGTTAAGAATAGGCATGTCTTTATATCTGGAGACTGGTTTAAAGAAAAGTGTCTGCTTGCCAAATTGGCAAGGGGTAGACTCTTATGGTTGATATATTGTGTTAACTTGAGAAGTTTAGAGTTTAACTAAGTGACTCAGCAGGGGGCCAGGGTCCTCAATTTGTAAACATCCTCACCTCCTGCAAGGCAAGTGTGTGTAGATGGTGTGAGTGTTACACTTGCCTTAGGGAGTGGTAGCCTGCTTACAATAGAAGGGAAGAAAAGAGGTTTGCTCTCCCCAGTTTTGCTCTTGTTTCTTTTTTCTGTCTTCTGCCACCTTGAACTATTGCCCCTCTGCCATGCTGTTCTGTCCTGGAGTCAGCTGATTATGGACTGAAAACTCTACAAACTGTGAGCTAAATAAACCTTAACAACGTTGTCTCAGCAACAAGAGAGAAAGAACCCAAACAGCTCGAAGGCCAGAAGGGCACGATGGAAGGGTTTCTCAGGGAGACTCATATCATGGCAGCCAGGAAACACAGAGCAAAGGGAGGATCCAGGGGAGATAAACCTTTCCAGGTCACACCCTCAGTAGCTGCCTCCAACAACTCCCACCTTGTAGCAGCACACTGCTCAGCTTATCAACCGGTAAATCCTCTGCTGAGTACAGCACTCTCCTGATCCAATCACCTGCCCAAAACCCCGCCTCTGAGCACATGAACATTTGGGGGGTCATCAATCTATACCTTAGTAGTGCCTTAATAATGTTGTTACCTAGAGACATTTGGGGCAGTTGGAAAAGGTAGTTATTGTGGATTTCCTTGCCTTTTTCTTTTGTCACAAGACCTCACAGTCACAAGTCTTAGGTGGAGATATGTACTCTATCATAGTTCTTCAGGTAGTTCTGTTCTGTTCTTTGCTTTTCTCTTTTCTTTTCTTTTTGAGAGATTGAAAATTGAGGGGGTGAATAGAGAATGAATGGCAATGATCACTCGTTTGTTAAGGGAGGCTCACAGGCTTAATCTCATTTAACCCTTATGTCATATTCTGAAGGCAAAGAGAAGCACTAGTAGCCTTTGACAGGCGAGACCTCAAGGTCTTGAAAGCGGGGCATTTGCTAAAAGTTACCCAGCTGCTCCAAGCCAGAACTGCCATCTAATCCAGGTCTTTTTAGTCGCATGTAAGAGTGCCATATGCAGAACTTCCATTTACATAACCCGAGGACTGCTTTGGTGGGGAATAAATAGCTGGCTGGAAAAGGAACGAAATTGCGAGCTCTTTTGTAATGCACAGCGTGTCCTTGGTGACTTGTCATGGAGACTTGTCAGTAACACTCCATTTAGCTCTGTGCCACCTTGGCAGGCACCTCAGGAGCTCTGGATCCTGCACTGATTCTCTGAACGTGGATTAAGACCTCACGCTGCTGTTGGGCTGGCTCGTGCAGGTGTGGGGCTGGTTCCTGCTCCCAACGAGATGAGCTGGCTTTCTGGAGAGAGAGGGGGCAGCTCCATGGAACAAGATGTGTAGGTGTTGTTAAGCCAAGAAGAGGACAGAAAGAGGAGGAGTAGACAAAGGTGTTTTGCCAGCTGCTTCTGCCTCCTGCGAGGGCATCCCAGAGGCTCCTAAGGTCCGGAGCTCAACCCTGTGACCTCCCTCAGGCTGCCTGGTGGGGTGTGGTTGAAAGACCCCTGCAGTGCATGAGTAACTATGCTGAAAGAAAGAAAGGAGCCCCAAGTTTTACTTGCCACATGGGTCCTTCTCTTTGCTTAGACTGCAGTTTGAAAGGTGTTCAG